AAAATGACTAAATTACCCTTATTTTAATAAAAGATATCACAAATATATAAGGAAATATAACAAAATTAGGTCCACAAAATACAAAATATTTTTTGGAGGGAAAAGTGATCCCGCAAATTTTCCCGCCAAAACACTTGTAAAAACTTTAAAATACCTTGTAAAATTTTCCCGTAAAATTTTTTTCCGCCAAAAAATTTTTTTTGCGGGAAAAGTGATTCCGCAATTTTTTTGGCGGGAAAAATTTACAAGGTATTTTAAAGGTTTTTTACAGGGTATTTATAAGGTTTTACAATATATTTTAAAAGGTTTTACAACGTATTTATAAGGTATTTATAAGATATTATAAGATTTTACAAGCTATTTTATAAGGTTTTACAAGTTATAAGGTTTTACAAGTTTTTTATAAGGTTTTATAAGTTATAAATACCTTATAAAATTTTACAAGTTATAAATACCTTATAAAACCTTATAAGTACCTTGTAAAACCTTTTAAAATACATTGTAAAACCTTACAAAACACTTGTAAATACTCTGTAAAACCTTTAAAAAACCTTGTAAACTTTTCCCGCCAAAAATTTTCCCTCCAAAAAAATTTCGCCAAAAAAATTGCGGAATCACTTTTTCCGCAAAAAAAAATTTTTGGCGGGAAAAATTTTTACGGGAAAATTTTACAAGGTATTTTAAAGGTTTTTACAAGTGTTTTGGCGGGAAAATTGCGGGATCACTTTTCCCGCCAAAAAATATTTTGTATTTTGTGGACCTAATTTTGTTTCAAATAAGAATAAAATGGTCATTAAAAATTAAAAGAGGGCAAACTTAAAAATGGACTCTCAAAGGGGTCTTTTTGAAAAGGGGTATCGAAAAAGGGGCATTTTTGACAATTTCTCTTTTATTAACTGTATAGCCAATCTATAATTTTTTATTCTTTTAACACAAATGATAAATACAAATTTCCATTTTTTTGACAATCAAATTTAGGTTAGGTATTTTTTCTTTAATATTTGTTTAAACGCATCATAATACCAATGAAGTTCTTATCATATTATTCAATGATAGAATAAATAGTAAATCATTTGAGTATTGATTGTGCAAAGTATTTAAATTCATTGTTAATATAAGGAATCCGGGTAGATTCGATACACAACGTAAGAGATGAGCTCGATTTAATTAAACTTATAGATGCAAGGCTGAGCACGGTTTTAGAATAATAGATGTGAGACTGAGCTCAACTTTAGAGTAATAGATGTGTCAAGAAACCTTCAATATTGTATAAATCTGATTTCTTAGGGTTTAAGGTACATCACGTTCAGCTTTATATAAGGTTACAACTTGAGTATAATGGTAACCTAATCAAACATTAAACCGACCAAGCCCATAGGCCCAATACCCCCGCTCAAGGTGGAGTGTGGAGGTTACAAACACCCAGCTTGACCAAGAAATCTTCAAATTGTTGACGCCCCAATGCCTTTGTCATGATGTCTGCTAGTTGACTTGTGGTGTTGACATGCTTTGTAGCTATAACACCACGAATAATCTCATCTCGTACAAAATGTACGTCACGAGCAACATGTTTTGTTCGAGCATGGAACACCGGGTTAGCGGCTAACATAATTGCGGACAGACTATCAGAATGAAGAGTGATAGGTGCGGTAACCTCAATGCCGAGCGTTGGAAGTAGTTCACGGAGCCATAACAATTCACTTACAGTATCAGCCATGGCACGATACTCAGCTTCAGCCGAAGAACGAGAGACAACATCATGCTTTTTCGTTTTCCATGACAATGGTGAGTCACCAAGTTGTATGAACAAGCCAGTGAGAGAACGACTTGTTAGCGGACAAGAACCGTGATCCGAGTCACACCAAGCAGTCAATGTCAAAGGTGTGTTAGCACGGAGTAAGATACCTTGACCAGGACTGTTTTTCAAATATCGTATCACACGAAGAGCAGCATTCCAATGAGCATTTTTAGGTGCATTCATGAATTGTGATAATATATGAATAGCATATGACAATTCTGGTCTCGTATTACCTAAGTAAATGAGACGACCGACAAGGCGACGATAGCTTGTAGGATCCTTAAAATCGCCATCATTAGCGAGAGCAAGCTTGTGGTTTTGCTCCAAGGGAAACGTGACAGGCTTGACTCCCATGAGACCGGTTTCTGCAATAATCTCAAGAGCATACTTGCGTTGACACAAGTAAATCCCGGCAGGACTGCGAGCCACTTCAATACCCAAAAAATAGCGCAAGATGCCTAAATTTTTCATGCGGAAACACGAACTCAAATAGTGTTTGAACTCGTTGACAAGATGTATGGAATTGCCTGTGATAATAAGATCGTCGACATAGACCAGAACGTGAAGTCTTGAGTCATCCTTTGCATAGATAAACAGCGAGTAATCAGAAGTGTCCTGCATAAAACCGTACGTTTTCATAGCTGGTCCAAGTTTCGCAAACCAACAACGAGGTGCCTGTTTCAATCCATATAACGATTTGCGAAGACGACAGACTTTGGTGTTATCATCTGTACGAAATCCAGGAGGAAATTTCATGTAGACTTCCTCTTCAAGATCACCATGGAGAAAAGCATTGTAGACATCCATTTGGTGAACTTCCCAATCAAGAGACGCGGCTTGTTGAAGAAAAGTACGGACTGTGATCATCTTAGCAACTGGAGCAAATGTTTCAGAATAATCTATGCCTTCTTTTTGATTATTTCCAAGAACCACAAGACGAGCTTTATGGCGTTCAAGCGTCCCGTCGGCATTGTATTTTAGGCGAAAAACCCATTTGCATCCGATTGGCTTCTTATTTGGTGGAAGATCTTCAACAGTCCATGTTCCATTTTCCTCTAAGGCATCAATTTCATCTTTGACTGCAAATCTCCAGTTCTCATCCAAGATGGCCTCTTGGTAGTTAGTAGGCTCAACTCCCGAAGTAATAGCAAATAAGTATGCTTGATATTTTTCCGAGAATTGCGAGCTGGAGACATAATTGTCTATGGGATACGGTGTGGCTGACGGATATGGTGCATGAAGCAGAGAGGTGACATAGTCCGCGAGCCGAACCAGCGGAGCTTTCTTTCGAAAACCAATACCGAGCTGTTCCGGTTATGTTTCTGTAGCATCATCGTCATCGGTGGTGGAAGTGTCTGATGACGATGATGGTAATGGTGTTTCAGCTGCAATTTTAACAATGTCGCGAGTTTGCAGATGAGGAGCAGTGACGACAGAGTTTTCAGGTGAGGCTGCAGGCGGCGAAGAAACAGAGTCGTGTTCGTGAGAGGACGTCGTGGGCTCTGACTGATTAATAACAGGACTCAGATTCGTTGCCAGATTGTCAGGTGGTGACGCGGGCTGAGTTTGAACTGATGGTGAGTCTGGACTGAAAAAATCAAAGCTGTCTGTGTCTGCGGATATGTCAGGAGCATGAGAAGTGAGCTGCTGATTTGGAGACGTGAGAGACTTGGTTGCAAATGGAAACTCTGATTCGCAAAAAACCACATCACGTGAGACTGAGACTTTTCCAGTTTCAAGGTTGTAAACTCGCCAGCCCTTTTTTCCAAAGGGATATCCCACAAAAATTGATTTATTGCTTCTTGTTGCAAACTTGTCACCGCCGTGTTTTTGATTGTGGACGTAGCATAGACACCCGAAGACTCTCATATGATTCATTGGTGGTGGGCGATTGTAAATGAGTTCAAAAGGAGTTTTGCCACCAAGAATTTGAGTTGGTGTACGGTTGACGAGATAACCGGCCGTTAATGCACAATAACTCCAAAATTCAGTTGGAAGGTTGGCGTGAAAAAGGAGAGCGCGAGCAACGTTTAAGATGTGACGATGTTTTCGTTCGACGCGTCCGTTTTGCTGAGGTGTGCCGACGCAAGATGTCTCATGTATGATCCCATTTTGAGCAAAAAAATCTTTTAAGCAAATAAATTCCGATCCGTTGTCGCTGCGAATTGTCTTAACTTTAGTAGAAAATTGACGTTCTACAAGAGCAAGAAAATTTTTGAGTTGTGTTGGTGCTTCTTGTTTCGAAGGAAGCAAATAAATCCAGACCGCTCTCGAATAGTCATCAAGTATCGTGAGAAAATAATGAGAGCCACAAATAGAGGATGTGCGATATGGTCCCCAAAGATCGCAGTGAATCAGTTCAAAAGCAATAGTAGTCTTATTATAACTCAAAGGAAAAGACTCTCTTGTTTGTTTAGCGCGAATACAAACGTCACACGCCTTGGAATCAAACTTAGTATTAAAATCCAAAAACTTTAACATATCTAGAGCTTTAGAAGATAGATGTCCTAGCCGAGAATGCCAAACTTCAACTGAGGAGGTATCCATTGAATGAACAGCTGCAACCACTTCTACTTCTCTTAAAAAATAAAGACCATTATGTTGCTCACCCGCGCCAATCAGGGTCTTGGTGGTGCGATCCTGAATAATACACAGCTTATCAGTAATCTGAAATACACATCCGCGTTCTCTAGTCAACTGTGAAACCGAAATAAGATGACACTTCAATCCATCAACAAAAAACACATCGCGAAGAGCCAATGAAGAACCAAGTGACACGGAACCGTATTTTGTGGCTGTAGTGAATCGACCATCCGGCAGCTTAATAAGAACCGGAGGCATAATGCGGACATCGTGTAGGAAATTTAGTGTACCTGTCATATGATTAGATGCACCAGTATCAATAATCCATGACTAAAGAAAATACTTACCCGATGGAGTATCATCTGGTGGTGAGTTTCGTTTTGCAAGTGTAGTGACTACGGAGTTCCATTCTTCATTGCTCAGGCCAATGATCCCAACACGATCAGCATAATTTATCGGAGAGGACTGTGATGAAATGGCAGTGTTGAGTCCGAAGCTCGACAAGGCAGTGGAAACATGATTGACTTGAGCAGAATTTGAACTCTTGCCCATCATTGATCCCACAGAAGTTGTTGTGTTGTCGCGACCCATACCGCTAGAGTTAGCGTTTCCTTTAGCTGACTGGTTACTCGATTTATTTCAAAAATTTGAGTTCTGTTTTGGATTCTCCACCCACCAGTCAGGGTATCCGATTTTTCGGAAACAATTGTCAGCAATGTGACCGGTGCGGCCACAAGTTGTGCAGGAAACAGAGCTGCCTCTGTTTTCAAACACTTTCCGATGCAAATTTGCTTGAACTGCAAAGCTAACCCCGTCTGCTCTCACTTCATTGTCACGGCTCAAATTTTTGGATTCCTCATCTAAACACAACGCATTATACGCTTCCTCAAGACTAGGCAGAGGCACTCGAGACAACAAGTTTGATTTCACAGCTCCGTACAAGGCGTCGTCAAGGCCCATGAGGAATTGATGTAACTTGTCTTCCTCACGCTCCTTTCTCACTTCTTCCATGGTTTTGGCTCGCTGATAATCCGCCAAACTACCCCAAAGCTGTGTGAGTTTCCCGTAATAAGTCTCGATTGGAAGCCCTTTTTGCCGACAGTTTGCCAATTCTGTTTTTAAGCGTTGTACTCTTTGGCCATTCTTCACACCGAACCTCTTCTGTATATGCGTCCAGAGCTCACTTGAATCATGAATATGAGACACAGACGAGGAGAGATTCTCTTCAATAGTTAAACGGATCCAGGAGATTACAAGAGCATTGTTTGCAATCCAGTCCTCATAATCGGCGGCGTCTTCTGGAGGCTGTGGTATAGTTCCATCGACAAACCCGAATTTCTTCCTTGCTTTGAGTGCAAGTCGGAGATTATTTGCCCGTTCATCATAATTAGGGCCACACAGCAAAGGTTTTGAGATTAAAGTTCCTGGATTATCACTGGATGTTAAGTCATACGGCGATATTGTGCGCCGAGTTTTAACACGAGGCTGAGCCACTACTTCAGTCAAAGCAGAGGACGTAGAAGACGAAGTAGAAGATGAAGTTGCCATTGTAGAGGAGAAAGAAAAAATTTCAACCGAGAGAATGGTTGAAAGTTAGGTCAAAAAATTGAGAAATTTTAGAAGAAGAACAGAGTAATCTTGTAGCGGAAATTTAGTTCACAGAATCGAGCAACAACCTTGTAGTAGTTAGGTTACGGCTCTGATACCATGTCAAGAAACCTTCAATATTGTATAAATCTGATTTCTTAGGGTTTAAGGTACATCACGTTCAGCTTTATATAAGGTTACAACTTGAGTATAATGGTAACCTAATCAAACATTAAACCGACCAAGCCCATAGGCCCAATAAGATGCGAGGCTTAACTTGGCATTTGAGTAATAGATGCGAGTTAGGTACGCAGGCTGACGAGATAGACAGGTTGACGAGATGCGAGCTAGGCAGGCTCATCAGCTGACGAGCTGAGAAAGCTGATGAACCTTTTGTTTTATTTTTTTTCTTGAATCATAATAGTGGTATTGTTGAGACTACACATAAGCAGACGTACATATGTAGCAATATAACTCGAATGAACTTGACGATAGAGACGAGGTTGGTGTCTATAGAAAGCTAAGTTTTTGCGCTATCTTTTAATATGATGTCCGTTGCGTGGTTTCTTCTGGTTCATTGGAAACCTTGTCCCGAAGTTGACTGATATAGCAGCGGTGGATCTGCGTTCTGACAGCTTGCGCCCATTGAATAAAAATGGTGATAACTCTTAGTAGACAGTTCTGAATGAGGCGAAGGCGGGTTCTCTGAAAAGCTGACATTCGGGGCAATCCGTGGATAGAGGTCAGTCAACTGGTTTGTTGTTCATTTCAAGTAATACATAAATTTTTCAATCCTATAACAATTTTTTCATACAACTAATGGATTTCTAACTTTTTTTCTTATTCAACTTTGTAGGTTTGGAAACTAATACAAATTTAATAGATATATATATATAATAGATATTGTAGTAATTTTTGTTAATGTTATATTTTAACATTATGGTGAAATAAGTGGGTTTTAATGAGTTCAACCTTTACAATATTAATTACTTGGCCATTGAAAAGCATTTAAACCATTATAAGTTATAATATTATTTTGTAACATACAAAACACATATTTTCCTATAAATAGCAAGACACACATTTCACTATCTTTATATATTTTGAGTAATACATAATGTTTTCAATCCTATAACAATTTTTTCATACAACTAATGGATTTCTAACTTTTTTTCTTATTCAACTTTGTAGGCTTGGAAACTAAGAAGTTTACTCGATAATAATCCTCCTCGGAAGGTACAATGATTCCTTAACAAAACTTGAGACAAATCAGTTTCTCATGATTTTGAATTTGTTTTTGGGAATGTTGGGATTGATCCTTTTGGGATGTTGGTTACCACCACGCTGCTGCACCTTCTCCTTTTGTTTGGTGTTTTTTTATCATTGATTACCTTGCTCAAGTACACACATCTTTTTTTTTTAATTAAGATTCTTTGTGCGTTTCATTGCTTATAGCTTTCTCTGCATCTAAATTTTTATTATAGGAGGAGGTTTAACAGTACCAAGCAACCTAATTAAGGATAAGGCTTATGGCATGTAGCGTTAAATGCAATGTGATCTTTTTTTTTTTTTTGTCAACCGCTATTAATTAAGACTCAAAAGAGCCATTCCTGAGGAATGTTGTTTACATACGTGATGTGATGCGGTTCGGTACGAACATTTCGTGCCAATTTATCCGCTTTTACATTTGCACTACGAGAAATTAAAGATAAAGAAAAATTTGTGAATTCCTCTTTGTCGCTCTGTAACTCCTCCAAATACGCTGAAAATGCCGGCCATTCGGTTGGAGAAGACACCATCTTCACCAGGTCTGAACAGTCTGTGAAAAAAGCCACATCTTGGTTATCGGCACCTATCATGCACTTCATTGCCCAAAGAAGAGCTTCCACTTCGGTATGTAAGGGAGAGAGACTTCTACGCAGGTTTGCAGCTCCCATGGTTGGCGCCTCTCCATTAACTGAGGTACAAACCCAGCCTGTACCTGAAAATTTATCACTTTCTTTCCACGATCCATCTATGAAACAACGATGGCCAGAATAAGAGGTATCCTGAGAAATATCCCTTACTCGAGGTCGAGTATCCTGAACCAACGAACCCAGATTTTCAGCATGTAGCTCGACTTGAGCTGCCTGCCACGATTGTGCCTCTTTTTCCGCTAAACATAAAACCTCACGTGGATCTTTATCCACATTATCGAAAAGCTTCTCATTTCGTGCTTTCCAGATATACCAAATTATCCAAGGATATGACGTTGAATCGAATTCTGAGGGTATTCTCCAAAATAAGTGGTCCAAATTTGCATAAATAGAAGCCGAAGGAAACGTTCCTGGAACCGTTGGTATCTGCGAAAGCGCCCAAATTTGCCGCGCAGGGTGGCATTCAAAAATTGTATGATTAATAGTTTCCACTTCCGCACCGCACCTTGCGCATCCTATGTCACAATTTATCCCTCTTTTCCGCAGATTCTCTGTGACCGGAACACAACCTGCTAACATTTGCCACAAAAAGTGACGTAGCTTCGGCGGACAATGCACTTTCCAAGTATGTGCTTTTAGTAAATTGATTTGTGGGCCAATAAATGACAAAGTATTTTCCAGGTTTTCTAGCTGGGCCAATAAATGCAATGTGATCTTTTTCAATTTGTTCGTTTTTGCTAAACTATAAAAAAAAAAACTCTTTTTCTTTCATTTCTACGTGTTTTCAACTGATATATATATATATATATATATATATATATATATATATATATATATATATATATATATATATATATACAAACACAGTATTTACGCGCCACAGCGCTAGCAATGCACACAAGCTTTGCTTTTTTGCCAGACATGTATGAAAGAACTTTGACAATAAACAGTTTCTCAAAGGTTAATTGTTTATCATTGAGTTGCTTATTCAAGTTAGTTATGTAGAAATCAAAAGCTTAAAGAACTGCACTTCTTTATTAGATTTAGAAAACTCTCACAAAAACTAAATCTCTCTATTGAAGTCTTGTAGAACAACTCTCTACATAGAACTCCTTATATAGGCATAAGAAACATCCTAAACCTATTAGGATTACAAAACCAATTTCCATATTTTGTAAACCTTGTTTTCCTTTTTTCTAGTTCTCTAGAAACTTCCACTTTCTAAAGAAACTTGTTCCCCAAGTTCTGGAATTATCCAACATTCACCCCCGTAATTCCAACACGAATTGCAGGGTCTTCGATTGCTTGTACTCCGATCAAGTTCCTCATTTCCTTGAATTTGATTCGGGCTAGTGGCTTCGTAAGTATGTCCGCCTTCTGTAGTGTACCAGGAACATACTCCACCTCTATTTGATCATTCTCCACACACTCTCTAATGAAGTGATATTTCTTGAGAATGTGTTTGCTCCTTCCATGAAAGACCGGGTTCTTGGTGAGAGCAATGGCTGACTTATTGTCAATCCTCAGTGTGACCTTCTCGTCTTTGCTAAGTATTTCTTCCATTAACTCCTTAAGCCATATAGCTTGCTTTGCGGCTTCCGTAGCTGCCATGAACTCAGCTTCGCAAGACGATAACGCGACGTTGGGCTGTTTCTGCGATGTCCACGTGATTGGTGATGAACCGAAGTAGAAGATGTGACCCGACGTGCTTCTTCCATCATCGATATCAATGTTATGACTACTATCACTGTATCCAATCACCTTGCTTGATTCATCTCTCCTGAAAAACAAACCCAAATTGGTAGTTCCCTTTACATATCTTATTACCTGTTTAAGAGCTTGACCGTGACTCTCTCTCGGACTTTGCATGTATCGACTTAGAACTCCAACAGCATATGCCAAGTCTGGTCTCGTGTGAAGCAGGTACCTCAAGCATCCAATGCTTCTCCTGTATGCCGTGGCATCAATCTCTGGCTCACTTTCTGCCTTTGAGAGCTTTATGTTTGCATTCATTGGAACTTGTGTGGGATTACATGTGTCCATCTTTGTATCCAAGAGAATTCCTTTTGCATAACCCTCTTGCTTTATGCGAATCCCATCAGCTCCTTGTATGACTTCAATTCCAAGATAGTATGTCAATTTGCCTAGATCAGACATCTCAAATTCTCTTGACATATCTTTCTTGAATTGATTGATGACTTTTAATGATGTTCCTGTCACGAACAAGTCATCTACGTATATTGCCACGATCAAGTAGTCTCCCTTATCCCCTTTGAGATACACGGACAACTCTTTCACACATCTCTTGAGGCCCATCTCTTTAAACACACGATTAAGCTTCACATTCCATGCCCTAGGAGCTTGGCGTAGTCCGTATAGTGCTTTGTGAAGTCGGTAGACTCTGTTTTCTTCTCCTTTCTTTTCAAAGCCCTCAGGTTGGCTTACATAGACGGTTTCATGAAGGTCTCCGTTTAAGAAGGCCGTCTTGACGTCTAAGTGATGTATCTCCCAACCTTTTGCTGCTGCAAGTGCTATGAGAGAGCGGATGGTTTCGATCCGAGCAACAGGGGCAAACGCTTCTTCAAAATCAATGCCTTGTTGTTGTACATAGCCTTTTGCTACTAGCCTCGCTTTGTACTTGTTCACCGAACCATCTGCTTTTCTTTTGATCTTAAAGATCCATTTTAAACCTATTGGTTTTACCCCAATTGGTTTGTCAACAAGCTCCCAAGTCATGTTTTTCACGATTGAATCTATTTCAGCCATCATAGCTTCAATCCATTCTCGAAGATCCTTAGCTTCCCAATAGCTTTCTGGCTCGCCATCAATGGTGAACAGCAGCTTCTCACTTTCTATGTCAGCAAGAAGAATGTAATCATCAAGATATCTTGGTCTGTTGATTGCACGCCCGTACCTTGTTACGTACTGCTGGTTTTGGGCTTCTTCTTGATGTTCGTCATTATCGTTCTCAGCCTCTGCTTCTTCGTCTTGATTTTCAGGTTGCGGATCTTCTTGATAATCATCATTGTTCACTTGATTATCGTTATTAATATTGCCATCTTCAATAACTCCATTAAGTGTGAGCTTAAACATTCCAGGTTCTCCGCTCTCTTGTTGTGACAATGATGACCAGTCCCAAGCTTTCTTCTCTTCAAATATTACATCTCTGCTTACAAACACCTTCCTCGTGGTTGGGTC